TAAACACAGACCCTTGCCTGAGGGAGCAGAGAGCAGGCTGCTAGAAACACCTACAGAGTTACTGTCTTTTTTTTGTGGAAATAAACAGTACTTGTGTTACCAAGGCCTTTTTTTATTGGGACTCTCTTTCTTTGACAATGGTGCTTTGCTGACCATGAAGGGAATGACTTCTTAGACTGCTTGTGTGTGTGGGGGTGGGTGGGTGTATGTTGGGCGCAGAGGAAGGTACTGGGGATTTAAATTAGGAGCATTCTACAGTTGTTCTACTATACCTAAACAAGATCCCTATATGTGTTTTTTTAAATTTTACTGTGGTCTCTCTAAAATGCTCAGGCTGGCCTTGAGCTTGCAATCCACCAGTTTCAGTCCCCTGAGTCACTTGGTTTACAGGCATGTACCACTACCCAGGCACGGACCACTGCACCCAGTCATGACCTTCTGGAGAGAGCTAATTCTTAGAGATAGTTAGCCAAATCCCCAGGTTGTTCATTATGTGCAAATTAAACAATGTCATTTCCATACCACCACTATCCTCCCTATTGTGCTCCTACCATCCAAGGTCAGTCTTTGTTTGATCTAATCATAGCATGTCAGGTACCAGAATACCAGGGATGGTCCATGCCCCCTAAAGATAACTAAAATTATAATATACTAACCCTAAATTCACTTATGCTGTCTCATCTTCCTGCACAAATACAAGAAAGTCTCTTTCCCATGTTCTCCATCACCTTCCACATGCTCATCTCCTGACCAACCCCGAAGCTTCCCAAATGGCTCTGCACTTCTGCTGATGGAAAACTGTAGATCTCTGTGACAGTCCATGTGTTGATGTGAGTCTCCCATCCCTGATTAAAACAACCCCAAGGCACTCTTACTACAATGTCAAACATATACAGCTTCTCAAAAGGGCCAGGGCAACTGCGTCTGTAACCTGCACTCCTGGGTTTTAGTCATGGGGAGGCACCCAAGCCCCTGCTTTCTGTTAAGCCCTCCCCTCTTAGTGCTGGGAAACA